CGGAATTCTCTAGCGCCCACGGCTGGGCGACAATGCACAATGCGCGCGGGTAGCAGGCGCGCCGCGTGGACCCGCGCAGCGGAGCAGTCTGTTGCCGGCCATCACGGGCGGGTAGCTCCAAGGCAGTCATGGGCGCGGGGCTCCGACGCGCAGGTGGTGCCAACCACGCAGCGGCGCGGCGGCGTTCTTTGTGTGCCGTCATCCTAGAATGTTCATCGGCATCGTTCTCGGCAGAATCGAATTGTGCAGCTGGCTCATTTGCGTGACCCTCTGCGCCGGCCGCTGTGGGTGGCGCCAGATGCAGCGGCGATTTTCACTTGTGCTTGCCCCGGTTCGTGGGCTACCCTGGCCCGCGAGCTACGGGAGTTGCATGGAGTCTTGGCGGGCAGGCTCAAGGTGCTCGAGGACTGGCCGTCGAAGAGAGCCCAGCGAACCCAGGGTCGGGCGGCGTCGGCTTCGCTGCGGGACTTCGGGAGTAGCCAGCGCCAGCCGAGTCGATTGCCATTGTGCGCAATAGCTTCAAACATCCGCCACCTTTGTTCGACGAGCTGCCAGCGCAGGTCATGTTCAGATATCTTGGTTCACCCAGTGGACGTCATCCACCGAAAAGTACAGCAGCGGCAAAACATGCGGCGGGTCAGAGTCCTCATCTGTGGATCAGATCATGGAATCATGTGGCGCGACTCGCGAGCTGCATGAAGTCGAGCACCCAGAACCCATGACCGTGGCTGGTCTACGCAAGGCGGCAGCAGCCATGGAGTCAAGCGCGGGGCTCGGCATCGACCGATTGTCGCCGCTGGATTTCGAGCGGTCGTCGCACTGCGCGCTGGTGGAGTTGCGTGAAGTGTGCCGTCTGGTCGAGAGGGGTTTGTCTCGGCCTCGGCAAGTGCTTGCAACTGCGGGCAGGTTGCTCGAGGAAAAACAGGCGGCGATCTCGCGATAGGCTTGGCCACCGCGCCCCGTTGGTCGCGCGGCATGGCGCGCGAGGATCAGCCGACGCAGCGGGCTTGGGGCGAGGGGCCGACGTGGGATGCAGCAGCGGCCAACAATCGCGCGCGTCGAGAGGAGCGCGCTCGAGCATCCGAGGAGGAGCTCAATGCGGGGCTCGGCGCGCCTCGCGGCCGCTCTCGGCGAGTTTTCGCGTTTTTCTCCGGCCATCTTGTCTTGCGAGCTTCAGCCTTGTTTGCGCCCCAGGGCGGTGTCTCGGCGCGCCGCTCATTCCGCGCCCTTTTCTGCCGACCAGGTCGGTGGTCTAGGGATTGCGGCTTGGGGCCCGCTTTGCACGTTGCATGAGATGCTGGGTCTTTCAGGGGCCACGCGTAGCGCGTCCCAATCGTTCGGAAACGCCGTGGATGCGCGATCAATCCCGGCGCGTTGCTGGATCGAGGCAGGCGGCGCGCGACGCGGGTTACAAGATCCAGTTGCGTCTCCGAGGTCTGTCGCGCCGTGCTCGCGCCATGCCGGCGCGAAGGCGGCGGCCCAGCAGCTGGCGAGAAAGGGCGCTCTCATCGGCAGATGCTCGCTGGCCGCCCGCCCGGGGGTCGACTTTGGGGGCGGCGAACGGCGAGCGTGAGAGACGGCCAGGGAGGGGCAGTCAACTCAGGAGCGCAGCACAGGATGCCGCGCTGGCTCGCGAGTTCGCCCCCGGAGAGCTCGACCTCAGACCGCCGCGGCGCGCGGCCGCCAGGTCCACGGCTGCCGCGGGTCGAGCATGGCGGCGCAGAGGGCGGGGGGGGGCCATCGGCGACGGCGCATTCGGCGGGCGCGGGCAGATGCGCGACGGCATCGTTGGCCCGGAGGCTGCCGGGCTCACGCCCAGGGCGGTCGCTGCCGCGTCGGAGTATTTCGCGCTGGCTGCAGGCGTGGATGACGGGGCCGCTTCTAAGACCAGGCATGTTGCGAGTCCGGGGTGGCGCCGCGCGCCAGTTGTTGCGCGCGCCCGAAGCGCGGGGGTCCAGGCGCATTCTAGGCCCCATTTCCATTGCGGCCGCGCACCCGTTGCAAGCGGGGCGGCCCCCGACTTCGGCCGCCGCGCGGAGCGCAACGGATGATTTTTCGAGGGGTCGGCAGTCTCGCGATTATTTCATTTGGCGAGATAGTTGGACGTGATCAGGCGGCCCCAACTCGCGCCCCTTGCGCCGCGGCAGTGGCGAGAGGCAGCGCGGTTGCATTGCGGGGTGGGCATGGGTGATGGACTGGGCTTGCTGAGCGATCGACGTTTCTTGGCCGACCTACTGCGGCGCGCAAAGGTCGCCAGCTTCCGGAGCTCATGATAGCAAGCGCACTTGGGGGCTTTGGGCCTAGGTCTCGCAGGCATCGAGCGAGGCTGCTCGACAATGGCGCGCGCGCGAGAGGCGCGGGGAGCGCCCCGCGACGGCCGCCCCGCCGCGCGCGGCTTTGTTCTTGCAAAGATGGCGGCAAGGCCTTCTTCAAGGATTCGGAGCATTTGGTGCCGAGGGCGCTGACCGAACAGGACAGTGCCCCATGTTTTCGGTTTTCGGTCACGGGGCGCCCCCTGGGCGCAGGTGCCGCCGCCCCCCGGCGAGCAGGCATGGGGCGCCGGCAACGCGGCGGCGCCTCTTTCCTCAGGCCGTCTGGGCACAGGCACTCGCGACTCCCCGCTCGTTGTCTTCGGCGATGCGCCAGGAGGCGTATGCGCGCGGGGCGGTCGGCCCCGTCGAGGAGGGATGGGCGTCGACGCGATGAGTAGCTCGTCCCCGCCCGAGGTTGGTCTTTTCACGTTGGGGCCTTTGCGGGGCTCGCGAGGTCGGCGGAGCGCGCCGAGGGAAGAGCTTCCGCGCCTGGCCACCTCGAACGAGCATCCACGTGGCGTGCCATCGCGCGCGCCCACGTGACCAACAGCGATGAGGTTTTTAGAAGTCGGCGGCCGTCCTTGCACGCTCGGCCTCCGGGTCAGAACGCTATGCTTCGGAGGCCCATCAGCGCCGCGCTCGCGAGCCAGTCTCGCGCGCAACCCGACGCCGTGGTGCTCCAAGCCTCGTCGCAAATGGTTCCGCGAGAGTACATCGCACGAGGTGGCGCCATTTTTCTGGCACAGGGCAACGGACTGGTGGATGGTTTCTGGCGGGTTCTGCAGAACAAAAAATGGAGTTGAAAGTTCTAGAGGTGCACAGAGCGCGAGTGGCCACCGTGAAAATGGATGCAGTTCTGGACAGGCGCCGTTTGCTGAGAGCTTCTCTTCTCGTCATTCGGTTGAGGGGCAAAATTCAGCAACGCCCCCCCATCCCCCCGCAATTCAAAGCTGGCACGTATACGCATCACTGGTCCGACGCTCAAAGTCGGGAGATCCGAGCCCAGTATTGCATTCGGGGGGAGGGGGGGAGTTCGCACCACATGTTGCGCGTAAGTGTCGCTCAAATGTTTCCGACACCTGTAGCTCGCCTTTGCGCCAGCACACGCCCTGGTAGAGGCGGGCGGCCGTGTGCTTTGAGCGGGGGGTTCTCTCTGAAGGCTGCTTTGAGTCCCTGGCTGATCAGTGATTGTTTTCATCTCGAGGGCGCTGGCGGTAGGTTTTGCAGGCTCCCCAGAAGGCGACGCATACGTATCGTTGGCGGTTGGGCCCATCCTTCACACGCAACGTCCTACCATCTGTCATTTGGAGTGTGGTATTGTGCCACTTGTTGTTTCTTCGGCCAGTCCCAGATTCGGGGAGGTGGGGGGAGTTTGCAAGACTCCAGTTTCCAAGACCCGTCGGGAGCACCCCGATCGAATTTCACATCAGATGCCCTCCAAGGCATAGGTTTGGGTCGGCCGTTGTTCGCTACTCGTGTGAAGGCGGTATCGTGGTGATCCTCTTTCTCCTCCTCCTCCTCATCCTCATCCTCATCCTCGTCATCCGTCCCCTCGTCTTCCTCCCTCCTCCTCCATTCTTTTTCTTTGTAGATAACCTCTTCCCTGTCGCATCCCGAGGCCGGTCGAAAATTCAGGACGGGCGATTCGTTTGAGACTCCTTCACCACGTATGCCTTTAATGCTATGTACAAGTTCACAACAGCTTCACACATCATGGAGGGCGGGTGGCTTCCAACATATGGCTCTCGCCGTAGCGCCGCGCACATTCGTTTAGAAATTTTCCAGAGCTTCACGGATTGAGGGCGGCTCGTTTTGAACATGTGGTTCTCGCCTCAGCGCCGCGCGCACTCGTTTGACACGTGTGGATGAGCTTCGCGGATTGTGGGGGATTCCTTTTCAACGTGTGGCTCTCGCTGCAGCGTCGCGCAGTTTTGTTCCAAACTTTGGAATCGCTTCACGGATTGAGGGCGGGTGGTTTCCAAAATGCGGCCATCGCTTTAGCGCCGCGCACATGTTGTCAAACACATTGGAATAGCTTCACGGATGGAGGGTGGTTCGTTTTCAACATGTGGTTCTCTCTTGAGCGCCGCGCGCATTTCTTTGAACAGTTCAAAAAAACTTCACGGCTTGAGGGCGGTTCGTTTTCAAATGTGGTTCTCGCCTTAGCGCCCCGCGCACTCGTTTGAACAAATTGGAAGAGCTTCACGGATTGAGGGCAGTTCCTTTTCAAAATGTGGCTCTCGCATTAGCGCCTCGCACATGTGCAATAATTTCAGCGGTGTTCATGGTTAACGTACCAGAAATGGTGTTGCTGGACCGATTTAGGACTGTCAGGGCGCAACATGTTGTGTTGATTTGCGGTGTTGAAGTCCCAGGACTGGTGTTTTGGTGTGTCTCTGGATCGCCAGGACGTAACAGTCAGGTTAACTCGTCGTGCCGAAGTCCTGAGAACGGTGTTCTAGCACGCTTCAATATGTTCACACGGTTGTCCCCCAACGGGGAAGCTCTTTCATTGGAAATGAGCCCTTGTAGGGACCTGCGAAGAGGGATCTTGGAGGGAGGGTGGATTTCAACATCGCTGATGAGTCTTGGGTTTACACTGGTCCTCCTCCTCCTCCTCCTCTGCAATCCGCCTCTGCAATCCTTCTCCTCTGTAATCCTACTCCTCCTTTCCCTCCGCGCCGCGAGGTTCTGTCAGTTGCGGCGCAGGACCTCGTTTACTTGGAGAAGGCCCGCGCCGCGCGTCCCCCCGGAATGATCGCGGCACAGGATGGGGAAGAACCGCCGCCGTTCCCGCCTCCCTTCCTTGGCCTCCACCTCCCCCTCGTCCCTCGCCTTGCCGTCCTGGTGGTGCGTCTGCTCCTGCTTATGCGTGTCATCCTTGTTCCGCCGGTTTCCACTTCGTGTGATTGTTCCTCCCCCTCCCCCTCCCCCTCCCGATTGTCCCAGTCCTCGTCCTCTCCCTTCTCCCCGTCCTCGCCGACGGCGGAGGCTGCGCCCAGGCAGACTCCATCCCAAGCACGCCGTGTCCGCGGCGTTGCGGGCGAGGAGGCGGCTGACGGAGGCATCCTCCGCCACCCCTCCTCCTCCTCCTCCTCCTCCTCCTCCTCCTCCTCCTCCTCCTCGTCCTCCTCGCAGGAGGAGGACGAGGAGGAGGACGAGGAGGAGGAAGAGCAGGAGGAGGAGGAGGACGACGAGGAGGCGGGCGAGGAGCAGGAGGGGAGGAGGCGTGTGGGAGCGAAGAATCACATAAACATGAAAACTCGGAGGTCCGCGTGGATTCCTCGGATCGGCGCCAGACCCCCCTCCCTGGCGCGCGGAGCGCGCCAGGGGCGGCGCCGGAGGCGCCGCCACGGGGGTGCAGCGCCGATCCGAGGAATCCGCGCGGACCTCCGAGTTTGTATGTTTCTTCAGTGCTCCTTCCCCTAAGCGACAGCCGCCTCCTCGCCCGCACGGCCGCAGACACGGCGTGCTTGGGATGGAGTCTGCTTGGGCGCCGTCCGGCTCTTCCACAGCCTTCGCCGTCGGAGGGGAAAGGGGAGGAGGGAGAGGACGCGGAGTGGGACAATGGGGAGGAGGAGGGGGAGGAAGAATCTTCGTTCCCCTAGGACGGTGGCGCTGGAGGCGCGGCGGTGGTTTCTGGCTGGTGTGCACTGCGGACGGCCCCTGGGCTGGACGCGGGCGCACCACCGGGCGCGTTGGCACCGCGGTTCGAGAGAGGGGGGCGTCCGGCTTGACGCGGCGGGCGAGGGCAAGAGTGAAGTCGGGCCTGTCCCTCTCCCTCTACAGGAGAAATATTCAAAGATAGTCAACAAAATAGTGTGGGGACGATTTGTTCGCCATTGCGATCGTTTTTTGCTCATTGTTCCGCCGATCGGCGCGGGCCCCCCAGCCCCCCTTCCCCCCCCTCCCCCCATGGAGTAGATCTTGGCTGTCTTGGGCGCCCGTTTCGTGCAGGTGGAGTCTCCCCTCAGAGCACCCGCTGCTGCAGACAGTCGCGCTCAGCAGACCCCTCCCCTCCCCCCCCCCTTCCGCCCAATGTCGAAACAGCATTTTTTTTTTGTTTGGCACGTTTCTGCCTTCCGCCCACACCATCCCCCCCTCCCCCCTTCTCCCCCCTCCTTCCCTCCCCCCCTCCCCCCCCTCCCCCCCCTCCCCCCCCCCCTCCTCCGCCCAAGGTCGAAACGCAGCAGTAAAAAAACCCTTCACATGTCTGACCATCTTCGAGCCTTTGTTTGGCCAGTTTCTGCCCCCCCCCCCCCCCTCCCCTCCCCCTTCCGCCCAATGTCGAAACGCAGCATTTTTTTTTGTTAGACACGTTTCTGCCCTCCGCCCACACCGTCCGCCTGCCGGGGGACGCCCCTCCCCGACCCGATCGGCAGGCGCAGGGGCCCCGCGCCGTGGGCCCCTCGACCCCCGCCTCCCCGCGCCTCGCCCGGGCCGGGGGGGGGGGCCCGTGGCCGAGCTCCTCGCGCTGCTCGGGGCGCTCCGGCTCGGCATCGCTCGGAGGTGGGCATTTTTTTTTTTCCTCGGCGAGGGCCATGGAGGACGAGCTCGCGCTGCTCGGGACGGTCAGGTTCGGCATCGCTCGGAGGTGGGCATTTTGTTCCTCGGCGAGGACCAGGGAGGACGAGCTCGCGCTGCTCGGGACGGTCCGGCTCGGCATCGCTCGGAGGTGGGCATATTTTCCTCGGCGAGGGCCATGGAGGAGCATCCTAGATGACCTAGCGAAAGAAGCACGCACGACATCGACAAGTACACGAGGAGTGGACGCCCGAGCGATGGCAAGCAGGGGCCTCCCGGGCCGGTCCCGCCCCGCCCCACGGGCGTCCTGCGCACGCGGCTTCGGCGGGGGGCCCCCTCCCTCCAGGCGCGGAGCTCCCAGGCTGAGGCCGGCTGCGCGGTCTTGGTGGCGTCGCTCGGCGCGCGAGGTGCCCCGAGGTCTGCGGGGTGCCTCTCGCGCAGCCACGGGCTGCGCGAAGGCCGGCAAGGCCTCGAGGAGGCCGCCCAGGGGCACGCGAGGAGTCGGCCGCGGCGGCCGCCCGTCGCGGCTGTTCCCACCGAGCGCGTGGAGGTGCCGAGAGCGAGGGGCTCGAGGCGGTGGCGGTGGCGGAATGTGGCGGTGCCGCAGGCGTCAGCACCTTGGGCAAGACGCCCACGGTACCGATCGGCAAGAAGCATGAGGGGCCCGCTTTCCGCCACCGCCACCAGGAGTTGGAGGGGGGGAGGGGGTCCTCCTCCCCCCTCATCCTCCACCTCCTCCCCCCCTCCGACTTGTGGTGGTGGTGGTGGTGGTGGTGGTGGTGGTGGTGGTGGTGGTGGTGGTGGTGGTGGTGGAGCACAGGCGCATCGAAGCATGGATTCGGACGCGGGCCAGAGTCGAGCATTAGCTCCCAGGGCTTGCGCTCACGGCAGCGGCGCGTGAGCAGGGGCCCGAAGCTCGAGCGAGGCGAGGCGAGGGGGCCAGGGTTACGTCGGGCCCGTCCCTCTACAAAAGGAGTCTCCCAAAATAGTCCAACAAAAATAGTCTGGGGACTCTGTTTGTAGTTTTTGCTCATACCACTTTGGGGGTATGTTTTAAGTATTTTTTTGTTTGTTCGTCGAGAATCCCCCTGCCCCTGTAAGGGGGGCACGCCCGACGTACGGCCAGGGAGGGGAGGGGCGCCGCGGCGCAGAGGGGGGGCAACAGCCGACCGAGGCAGGAGCCGAGGCCCGAGGAGGCCGCGCGGGCACGGCGCCCGCCGGCAGTCCGGCGGGCGGCGGGAGCCTGCCGAGTCAGCCCAGGCCTGGCCCTACGTCGGGCCCGTCCCTCTACAACAGGGCTAGGATCGGGATAAATCGCTCCAGAGCGTTCCGGAGCGCTCTCAGAGCGTTCCGGAACGCTCTGGAGCGGCCGCGGCGCCCAGCACATCCTCCAAACCCGCCGATTCTCAGAGATTTCGAGTTAGCCCGATCCGATTTTGTCCCGATCTTCGCGTCGTTTTACCCTTTACAGGAGGGGTCTTCAAACATAGTCAAAGGATAGTCTGGGGCGGGTACGGCGCCCGCCGGCAGTCCGGCGGGCGGCGGGAGCCCGCCGAGCCAGACCGGGCCTGGCCTTCAGTCGGGCCTGTCCCTCTACAGGAGGGAGCTTCAAACATAGTCAAAAGATACTCCGGATTCCATAACAAAGTGGGGGGGTCACATTCGGGGGGGGGGTCTAATTTGAGCTGCCTTGGAGGTTCGGGGGGGTCTGGGCAAAGGGCCGCTCTTTCATGGATAGTCTGGGGGGTCTAAAACTTCTCGTCTGGGAGGGTTGAGACCCCCTCCCTTTTATCACGAAATCTGGAGTAGTCTGGGGCGGGCACGGCGCCCGCCAGCAGTCCGGCGGGCGGCAGGAGCCCGCCGAGCCAGACCAGGCCTGGCCTTCAGTCGGGCCCGTCCTTCTACAGGAGGGATCTTCATACATGGTCAAAAAGTAGTCAGGGGATGATTATGTTTTGATACTTTTGGACCATTCGGGGGTATTTCTTGACCATTTTCCATTTTTCGCCCAAAGTCCCCCTGTAGGGGGACAGGCCCGACGTAAGGCTTGGCCCTGGATCCAGAGCGCAGGTTCCCCTAGCAGTCGTCTCCCGTCATCGTCGATCCGGGGCAGCCAAGAATTACCGCTTCCACACTGCACACTTGCTCCCAGTGCCGCCATCGGCGGGGTAGTCGGGGAGGAGGGGTGGGGTGGGGGGGGCGGAAGCCGTTGGGGGAAAGCCTGAACGGGGGCGGCTGGGAGTCAGGGTCACTATCTTCGTCACAGGCTGCGTGACCAGCTTCACGACGCACGATCCGCAGCGTTGGGGGCAAACCTAAACGGGGGTGGCTGGGAGTCAGAATCACGATCCTCGTCACAAGCTGCGTGACCAGATTCACGCGACGCACGATCCGCGGGCACGCGAGGGAAGAGGCATGCAATCTGAGCGAAGTTCCGTAGCGAGCCGTCGTTCACGGCGACGTACCAAAAAGTTGAGAATGCGCATGCATCGCCCGCACACCACAGATGCGCCTCGAAGCCTCAGGATCTGAGGAAGAACGCCTTGATCGCGAGCCGCTTCGCTACGAGCAGGCCGTGTGGCAGGGCGAGCGGCTTCATCACAAGCAGTTCCTTCACGGAGCGCCTCGTCTGATGCCCCTCCATCAGCTGGAACGTCAGGACGAACAGCTTCACCTCGAAACGGAAGTTCGGCACGAACAGGTTGTTCAGGACGACGGGTTCCATCAGGGTGAACGGCTTCGCTACGAAAGACCTCGTCTCGAACCAGCTTTTCAGGAACAGGTTCGCCAACGAGGTATGGATCTTGTGCTCCGTTGAACACCCGATCACAATCTTGTGCACGACGGTCCGTTTCACCGCGAGTTGGCCGTGCATCAGCGCGAACGGCTTCACCACGAACAGCGCCATCGCGGAACGCTTGAATCGCGGACCCCTGCATAAGGAGGGACCCCAGGGCGAACAGCTTGACCTCTAAGAGGGCGTTCGGCACGAACAGCTTGCCCAGGATCGTAACGAACGACGTCATCGCGAACCGGTTGTTCAGCAACAGGTTCGCGACCCAGCTCTGGATCCCGTGCTCCGCGAAACACCCGATCCAGAACATGTGCGCAACGGTCCGATTCACCGCGAACTAACTGTGCATCAGGGCGAACGACTCCAGCACGAACAGCATCACGAAGCACTTGATCAAGATCCCCGTCATCGGGCAGACCCCGTGCTTCGTCTGGGACCCGACCACGAACTTGTGCATCAGCGTCAGGTTCATCAGCAGGACACCCATGGAGGACAAGCACCCAGCAGAGGCACGAGCAGAACTCCGCCTAGATGCGCACATCAATCGCGCGTGGGCACATGGGCAGCTCCACAAACCCAGGCGGCAGTGAGTGCCGCGCCCGGTTTGCCCCCGCGCAGTCCTCTTCAGTGGCACGAATTAGGACTTTATCTCCAGTGTCCAAGAGCTTGACAACCTTCAGGGCAACGTCCATGGCGGGACAGTGGCCGCAGAGGAGATCGGACAGCGTCCAGTGCATAACAAGGCCATGTCGAACAAGTGCCACTCGTTGTGCCAGCGCTGCGCCGCGGCTGTCCCCAAGCTCTTTGCGAAATTCTCCACGTCGTCGCCGCACCAGGGTGCCGCCGAAGCGCCTGCCCACTGCCGCGTGGCAGCAGGGCCTGCACCCATCGCGGGGGAAGAGAGTCGATCGCGGCCGCTTGCGCCCCTGCGCCCGAGCAGGCGCGCTGGCGAAGGCCTCCCGAAGCGCAGCTCGCTTGCCAAAATGGCTACGGCTTGGACGTCTAAGAGGGCAACCGCAGCAGTCCGCCACCCGCGGGGACCGCTGTGGTGGGACCCCAACAGCGTGTCTTCTGTTTTGTTGTGCACGCGCCTTTTGGAGGCGTGCGCTCAGGGCCCTATAGGAGCGGGGCCACTCCCGCTCCTCCCCGGGGTGCTGGGCAGCGGGGCCCCGCGATCGGGCCCAAGCAGGCCACCAGCACGGCCTGAACTATCACGTCTCCCAGCTCTTCCCCCTCCCCGTCCGCCGTGCAAATGAGAGATTCGTACCCTCTCTCCCTCCTCCACTCCGGAAAAGCTGCACCCCACTGTATATCTATTATAGATATGTGTGTATATATGTATATATATACACACTTCAGAGTGTGGGGCTGAACCGAACGGTCATTCACTGTCCCTGGGTGCGTGGCTGAAGTGGAATTCCGCGATGCGGATTCTTGTTGTTGTCGTCGTCCCACCCGCGACCCGCCCCGCGACCCACCCGCGACAGCCCCCGCAACCCACCCGCGACCCACCCGCGACCCACCCCGCAACCCACCCGCGACCCATCCCGCGACCCACCCGCGACCCACCCGCGACCCACCCGCGACCCACCCCGCGACCCGCCCGCGACCCACCCCGAGACCCCCCCGGCGACCCACCCGCGACCCACCCGCGACCCACCCCGCGACCCACCCGCGACCCACCCGCGACCCGCGACCCACCCGCGACCCACACGCGACCCACCCGCGACCCACCCGCGACCCACCCCGCGACCCACCCAAATTTTCGGCGCCTGCGGCGGGTTTCTTTTGCATTCGTTCCAGTGGAGAACCTGCGACCCACCCGCGACCCAAACCGCGCCCGCGACCACCCGCGACCCACCCCGCGACCCACCCAAATTTTTCGGCGCTGCGGCGGGCTTCTTTTGCATTCGTTCCAGGTGGAGAACCTGCGACCCACCCACGACCCAAACCGCGTTCAGTGTACAAATCAAAACTTTCGGCGCCTGCGGCGGGCTGTTTTTGGATTCCTTCCAGGTGGAGGTGGAGAGCCCACGACCCACCCGCAACCCAAACTACGTTCACTGAACAAGCTAAAAATTCGGCGCCTGCGGCGGGTTTCTTTTGCATTCGTTCCAGCTGGAGAACCTGCGACCCAAACCGCGTTCAGTGTACAAGTCAAAATTTTCGGCGCCTGCAGCGGGCTGTTTTTGAATTCCTTCCAGGTGGAGGTGGAGAGCCCGCGACCCACCCGCGATCAAAACTACGTTCACTGAACAAGCCAACAACTCGGCGCCTGCGGCGGGCTGTTTTTGCATTCGTTCCGGGTGGCCCACCAGCTATTCCCCCCGCGTTGAACTTGTCAGAGCACGCAAATCGGCACCTGCGGCGGGCTTGCTCGCATTGGTTAGGAGGAGGAGGAGGA